CCCCCGCCATACCGGGATGCTCCACATCCCTGGGGGATGATGGCAGCCCCGTGAACTTCCCCCGGTCGGGGCCATTCTCCTTGGCCGTCCCTGGCCATCCCTGCCCGGGCACAGTGGAGGAAGCCATCCATTCTTTAATGTGCGAAGGCACGCCGGGCGGAAACGGTCGGAAACGGCCCCGAAAGGACGTTCCAAGTCTGGCAGGAAAGCGACCCCGCTTGTCTGGCAGGAGATGGGCTATTGTCTGTCCTGCTGGCCGGCCGGGATTCCTCGGGCCCTGCTTGGAAGGAGAGCACGGCCGTGTGTGGCTTATTTGTTTCCTCTGTCCCCTCTCTTGAGGGGGTTCCAGGGGCTGTGAGTGCTGCACGTGGCCGGTGCGTGCATGGCGGTGGTGTCACGCTGCCCCGTTGCTGCATTTTGCACATCCCATTGCTCTATTTGCTCATACGGTGTTTCCCCCCCTCAGTTTCCTTTTGCCCTGAGTGTTTCTCCCCAGCCTGGGTTGATACCTGGGCCATGGTGTCAGGATGTGGCCATGGGGCTGTGTCCTGCTTGAGATGGGTGGATGTGTTTTGGGATGACTGGGTACCACGCTGGGCTCCTGAAGGGAAGAGGCTGCTGTAACCCATGAACTGGCAGCTTTCTGCTGTAACTGTGAGGAAAGATGAAAACCAAAGCCCCAAGAGCTTCTGCTCCCGGTCAACTCAATGACAGCCCCTTCTCTGCAATGCCAGAGCCCCCACAAGTGACCAGGAGGGGTTTCTGGGTGCCTAGGGGGGCCTCGGCATCTCCCTGAGCTGCTGCGGTGCTGGGCAGGGTGGGGATTTGCTGGCGCCTCGGCCTCCCCCTGCCTTTCGAAGCACAGAGGTTTTAGGACCGGGCAGCGGGCAGGAAGGGTGGCACGGCCATGGGGAGAATTGCAGGACGTGCCGGCTGGGGGTACACATGGGGAAAGAAAACTGCTGTCACCATCCCAAAAACACAGCTCAGCCCTTGGACTTGCTGGGCTGGAGTTTGGAGACAGTGCAAGCACCTTGGTGTAGGGGCATTTTAGGGCTTCGGTGCTTGTGGGGTGAGCTCCCCTTTTGCAGGGGGCAGCCCCATGCCTGGACCCTGGGCCATCATAGAGGACTCGTGGCTCTCATCAGCTCCGTTTCGGCCCTGCAGGCTGGCGCTTGGCATCCCAACGCCGTGCCCTCCCTTTCCTCCCGCCCTGCATTCAATGGGAAATATGAAAAGCGCGGCTCCGTTGCGCTCCCGGTGCCAAGGCGATTGTTCCCGTCCCCATTGTGTGCCACAGGCGGGCCCCGAGGCCAGCACCCGAG